CATTGTTTATTTTGATCAACAGATCATGCAGCAAATCACAGAACTGCTAAAATGAGATGCCACTATGCGTACTCGTGTGATGGGATGCATGTTGTCTGGGTATGGTGTTTACATACGAGGAGGGAGCGGTTGTTATCAGTACTTTTGAAGCCCCGACTCGCATAATTCGTATACGGATATTTTAAAATGCAAATACTAATATTAAACGTGGAATTTCAGCCAAACTCATTTTGTGGTATTTCTTTGCGATTGACTGTTGAATAAGAGTACATTGTGGCTTATAATTGACAAAAGCATTTGCGACTTATGTATTGCCATGGAAATTTGAGACGAGACATACTTGTTATGGAAAAATACGAACAGCAAAGAAATTTACTTTTTGACAACGCAGCAAAAATAATTGACAGGCTTGAGTAATTGAGGAAAAACAATCGTGAATTCAGATATTACATTTACAACAAGGACATAGAAAAATGTTTATATACAGGACAACCTGAGCAACTTCAAGTCCGAACACAAAAAGCCCAGTCTATATAAAATCCTTGTTATGTCCAAATTTCCATTTTCTCCTGAAATCTTAATTTTGTAGCTTTATAGTTCCTAGTCGTCTTGTGTTAGTGGTATGAGGATGCATGTCTTAGTTTTAGTTGTTTTTAAGACCATACTGTTATACCTTTCTGCGTCAGTGTCGTGTCAATAAAATATTACTATTACATTGAGTTGAGTTAGCGTGCCACACAATACCGTTAGACACCGAGTTTAGGTCGAAAAACAATTTTCATATGCTAATGAGAATCGTCACTATGGTGATGTAAATATTCATGAGTCAATTCACTGAATAATTAAACATTTTGATCTTTTCTCAAAATTACCGAACTATTCTATCTAGATACAATGAGAACAAATGAGGAGACACACAGTAATTTTGGCGGGTAAAACAGGAATGGAGAATGCTAGCAACATGGAAAAAGATAACAGTAGCTTAGATACATGCCATCTATACTCGGCAAAAAGGAGCCAAGCAAGAAAGACCTACCAAAACTCAAGTCAAAACTCAAATGAAGGTAAAAAGTCAGTGTGTCAAGTCCAAGTTGCTGGCTCTAATGGCTGCATAAATACATCGATGCAGATATGTACAGGCGATGACCAATTGGTGATTCAGCGTATGACAAATATGCGTGTGGGACCAATCACATTGAGCTTTGAAAGCTTCTGATGCTGCACCAGATTGGAAGGTGAATGAAACACCGCCCGGCGAAAACTTTGGCCCGAATAAAAATCTGGGTTGGGACTGATCGCCAGCAGAAGAGACTTCAAATGCAGTGTGAATGATTGGTATAGATTTATGGTTGCAACACTCATGGTGCAGAAATTAATAGAATAACCGGTGTAGTGCAGTAGTGACTGATCAGAGTTGTCAGTTGTGTCTGACCTTGCCCAAATAACACGTTGAAGTGAAACGGAATCAATGCAGTAAAAATTGCCTGTCTTGGTTGTATGTGCCATTGTTATTATTGCGTACGTTTTTACGGGAAATAATATGGAAAGTTCCATTTACAATAAAAAATATTTTTTTTACACTTTTCAGATAAAGAAAATTCCTATTTACATTTGTATAATATACTTGATAATTTGTGTTTAAGAATCAAAATTGGAGATTGCGTACGAATTACGACATTTAATGTTGAAAATGCTTTATACGCTAATACAAAAAATAAATCTAAATTACATTTTACACCTTGTCCATGTCTACGAAATTACGTTTTTTATTTATTTAAATTACATTATTATGAAAATAAAAACAATTGATTACAGCTTACGAAAATACCCCTTGCCGACCCTCATTAAAGTATTAGTAAACGGAACGCTGGAAGTTAAGGCGTAGAGGGCGGTATAGTGAGCTGCGTAGTGTCTTTTTTGAGTCAGGCTGAGTCGCTGCTGAGTCAATGTTTTTATCCGTTTTATTAACATTGGAGAACTGCTTGTTTTTTCAATGTCGTCTAATTAGCAAGCCCTTCATTTTCAATAAATGAGCGGTCCCTGTTGCAACGTCACTTGAAGGCTTGCGCGCTCATTGTGGACTAGGCGTAGATAACGGTGGCTCTCTCCAGCCAATCATTAGAATTAGGATGAAAGTCGACGATCGGCACTGTACAAATTGTTATACATATGTTCATACAATTACAAATTTACGAATGATTTCTTCATTTTTATCAATATTTATGAATATTAATGCAGTTGAATCTAACCAAGCATTCAACGAGCGCCTTACGTAATGACGTCTGTGAAGCCATTCAAGTTGAATGCGTCCCCAAAATACAGAATATATATATATAGACTCTTGTGAAGCCATTAAATGTATCACGAACATATACAGACTGTATACAGGTCCTACTAGCAATGCCATTATTAACCCATGTTTGTCCTACATCACAGTAAACATTGGTATTGTAATTATGTTCAAACTAAGAAAGTTGTCTCAGCGTACGTCACGGCCTACAGTGATTACAATGTAAACAGTTTAATGAAATGAGTTTATTTCTGCAAACAGTAATGCTTAGTTAGACATTACATTTCTGTTTTTCGAAATTTATTATTGCGGAATAATATATGGGTGAAAAATGGTAAAAAAAAATCTTTGCCCGACGTAAATATTCACATGAAAAAGACTAAGGCTCTTGTTTTGAAATACATGGAGGTGCATAGAAACGTCAAATGCTCATTAAAACTTTGTATTGCAATACGTGTACCGGTATACTGAAAAAAAGTGTAGACGCAAAGGACGCCGGGAGCCATCGAAATCGAGCGTAAAAACAGGGCGTCGTCACAGGAAGCGATGTGAGTGGATGCGTCAAAATATCGCGTGAGATTCGACAAACGCAAAACTATGTTTTGGGAATTTTCACGCCTAAATAACGTGCTATACACATTTGATGAAGGCCAGTTTTGATGAAATAAAGATATGTCAACGTCAGATTACTCTCTGAAAATTAAATACAATTTTGTGGCAGACGTTCAAACCACGTCTTTCACGCCTTACGAGAGATATCACAGTGAACGGAAAATCACCTAATCAATGGTCATCGATAGGAGGGCCAGAACGCTGATTCGTGATTCCTGTTCAATTCGAGCTTCTGGCTCGCTAGGACCAGAAATTTCAACCTGACCCATTATCTGTTTATTCATTTGATGAAAATGCTGCATCAAACCAGTGGTAGCTACAAGTGACTGCAACTGAGACTGATCTTACTATCTAATTCCATTGCTTTTAGATATGTTTATTCAATGATTGCGCATTTCTGCTAAGAGTTATGTTTTATTAAAGGAAACATCAATCCAAACAACATAATGACCCTATAGAAAAAGCTCCACAAATGTAGGAGAAAGCAATTTACAGGTTTTTTATATCACTTTCCATTTTCCAGATATTCAACTTTTCATCAGTATTATGTAGTCAGCCATCTTGATTTTCAAGCAAAGGGTTATGGGTAAAGTATGACATCACTACATAATACTGATATAAAGTTGAATATCTCGAGAATGAAAAGTGATATAAAAAAACTGTAAATTGCATTCTCCTACATTTGTTAAACTTTTCCTTTGGGGGTCATTATGTTGTTTAGATTGATGTTTCTTTTAAATGGCGGTAGTCGTCGCGCCACGCTTGCGCAAGATATAGGGGTCGCATAAACGAAGATGGCAACTTTGACTTTGCGCACATCAATGAGTACAAACTGAGACGTTACCAAGCTTTAATTGGGTATTTTTAGGTGATTGTAAGGTAATGAAGGAGTCACCGGCGGTAATTAGTGAAAGTCGGGACCAGGTCAAACCTCATACTTGTGATATCCATTAGAACAGCGAATTGTATTGTGAGAAAAATCAATGTTTATCAACACAAAAGTCGCACATGCGCAGCGCGACGACCACCGTTCTTTCACATAGGAGCTTTGCAGTTTAAAGCGGGAGGGGAGTCACCTGCGCACGCACGACAATTGAGTCCCAAACGATTATAATACGCCCTAAAAACGCAAAGGCTCATGGGTAGACGCTTATTTGTAAACAATCTGACTCATGCCGCATG